TCTTAAATTTGTCTAACAGCGATAGTGTTAGGAATTCTCGACAGCTACATAGAGGGGTTTTTTGGTTAAAAAAAAAGTTAAAAACTGTTGAAATGAAGAAGATTACTACTTTTTAAGGATTGAAATCGAGGATTTTTGTTTGAGCTACAGTCATTGGAAGAAGGCAGACAAATATTTTGAGGATTGAGTTCCGGGATTCGTAGACAAGTAGGACAGATTTTTGAGAATTGGGAGATCCGGGTTTTGTAGTGGAGTTATAGAATTTAGAAGAATATGGATTCATGAGACGTAATCATTGTTTTTTACTGCTAAATTGAAACCTGTTATTTAAAAAAAAGGTGCATTTCGGCGTTTTTTTTTTCTCTCCTGCATTGTTTGATGTTGTATCATTTTAAATTATAGTTTAACTTAATCTTTTTTTTCAAAAAATTCACAGGAAAAATCGTAAGAATTAGGTGCAAAATCATGAAAATAACTTACAAAATGTGCATTTCGACGTTTTTTTCTCTCCTGCATTGTTTGGTGCTGTTATATCATTTCAAATTATAATTTAACTAAATCTTGCTTTTCAAAAAAATCACAGAAAAATAAAATCATAAGAATTAAGCTCAAAATCATGAAAATAATTTTATCATCATTTTTTTTGCAGGTCTACAAAGCTTTATGGAATCCATGTATTAATCTGCTGGCGCTGGCTTCACAAAAAGGCGAAATTGTTGTGCGACGTTTACACTGGAAACGTGGATGGAAGGTGAAATTGTAGCTGTAGAAATTAGAATTTTTTTAAAATAATAATCAAAAACAGTAGGATCTTTAGAACTTGTCTTGTTGCTACACGATTTTCATTGGATTCTGGGGATGGAATATGCCGAAATTCGTTTCCTTGCAACGGTATTTCAAAGAATTGTGTAATGTACGACTGCTATGAATTTTTTAATAGTTGGGACATTTCACATGAAAAAATAGCTTTATTTAAAAAAAAAAAAAGGAAAAAGAGAAACATGAACCGACAAGATCCAAGGAGGAATGGCTGCTGCCGCTCAACAATATTTTATTAAATTAAAGGTTAAAAAGAAAATATCAGGAGAAGAAGGAATTAAGGAAAAAAAAAAGAAAAATGGAGGAAAAGGATATTAAAATAGGTAAGGGGTCTAAAGAAATATTTGCAATAGATAAGAAATGTTTCGGTCCATTAAGTCGTATACATTTCTTACCGTTACCACAATTGGACCTCGTCAGTACCGAGCTGTTCTTGGTTCTGATCATATCACTTTTATATCACAGAAGAGACGTGAATCTCAAGGTGGGAGCTTCTTCACATCAGCTGGAAGCTGCGTGCTACCCACTACACCACCAGCTTTTGTGCTCCAAGTTCAGCATAGCAGCACATCTACTGTGTATCTGCCTTTCGCGGGGATACGCCTTTCTTTTCTTCTCTGCCTCGTATCGAGAGTACTTTTTTTCGGCAATTTTCCTCCTTTTTGGTGATTTTCCTCAATGGTTTTCTATAGTAACACTTTTTGTAATAACTCACTGCAGAAGGATATATATGATGTTCGGCCTATTTTGCTGGAAGATGTCAAAACGGAAGGTGAGATTCGCCTCG